CGATCCATAACACAGCCATCACATTTCTCAGCGGATTAGCCCCCTGGCAGACATATGCTCCACCATCTTCCTTCTTTGTGTTCTTAATCGTAAGTTGATTACCATCAATGACGTTTCTGTTGATAGGCAGTTGATCCCTTGATCTCGTCCACGTGATTAAAGGGGAGGGAAAACCAAAGATGTCGCATTTCAGAGTCATGTCCCATGTCTTGTAGGCTGTCACAGAACGCTTAGGCTCGGAGATAAATTTTGCTGGTACTGCGACAACAAAAAGGTCAGAACAAGATAGAACAAAACAAAAACGGCAAAATGAAGAACAAAAGAAATCAAAACATCCATCAATAGAAAAAAACAACAACAACAACAACAGAAAATTGGTAAAATTGAGATTAATTGTCTTTGCATATCTTCATATCCAAATGTTTCTTCAGACAATGAACATTTAAATCCAAAGTCTCCATAGCCTTGAAATTTGAATCTTTTAGGATTGGGCGGAATTGTAAGCTAATATACTTATGGTAGCATTTCAGTCATCAAATGCATGCCCTTTCATATTTACACATTAATGTTTACTTCTCAGTATTAAATGTCGCTGAGGGCTACAGCCTGTAGTGCAGGCTTTTTATTAGGGCGAGTTAACGTTAAGAAGCTCGCGATTGTTTATTCAACCGGTCATGTTTGATTTGGAGTTAAGATTTGACGGTGGGGGGATTGGGTCGGGAAAAGGCGTAATATTCACTGCCCCACCCCCTCCCCTCTACTTCTTTTTGACCATGGCTCACCCTCTAGGTACAAATAACATTCTCTCCCTAGAGTTCCGCTGCTGTAAAAGTCAAGAATGATAGTTACAATTTCCCCAAGATAATACTGGGAACTCGCCGGCCAAAATTACGCCTGCTTTGCAGACTATGAGGGCTAAAGCTAAGACTGGCATCAATATACGAGACGTTTGGGACTTCATTCATTTTAACAATTTTGGTCATTCATTTCAAAGGGGTACTTATGACTTATTTTTCTCTTCATTTCTTTATCCTTCGTCAATCCAGGTGACCACGGTGCTAATTTTTCTCTTCTTAATACAAAGTCATGTACATACCTCTTACTGTAATGTTCACTGATAACTCGACTCTTCCCAACAGATTCTCTGCTGTGCAGGTGTACATGCCACGGTCCTCAAACTTCATTTCGCTTATTTCCAAATTCCTTTTCTTAAACTGCTTTGTTTTGTCCTCTATCAGGCGCCCATTTTTAGACCATGTGACCACAGGTTGTGGGAAGCCAGTGGCTTCACAAGGAATTGTGACGCTTTGTTTTTCTCGAACTATCAGGGAAGACGGAGGCTTTTCAATGAAGAGTGGCAGTTCTTAGAGGGGAACAATATCATTATTAATGAACTGAAGAAAATAAATGAGTCCAGACTTATCGTTGTGGATCAAGAACAATCTACAAATACAGGAAAACTACAATATGCAAATTTTGATTTTGTTTTCCTACGTGGTAGGTTTTGTTTTCCTAACGGCACACTACGGAGTAATTGTTGTCCAAAGAAAGAGGCTTGAAATCTTACTTAACTGACTTCCTCCACTTCTATCTGTCTTCGTTTGAGCTGATATCCCAGGGGGGCCTGGTAATCCCCTGTTACCTCTTTTTCCTGGAGGTCCTGGTCGCCCCTTTGCTCCCTTTTTTCCTCTTTTTCCAGCCGGGCCGGGAGGACCCTGGGGCCCAGCCGATCCTGGTAAACCCGGGGGACCTGGTGGGCCTTTTGGTCCAACACGACCTGATTATGAAATAAAAACTCGAGATTAGTGCGATGAGCCCAATAAAACATCAGAAAAATCACTTTTCAGTTTTTTTTCTTACGTAATAAAGTAACAAATCTCGATAACTATCTTTTGGTTCAAACGTCAGCAAACTAGGTTCTCATAAAAAAAAAATTACTTGAAGTATGTATTATTTTTGTACGGCAAAAAGAGATAAAAAGCGAGAAGGAACTGATTGCTCATGATTTGTGAGACTGATATTGCTATAAAAAAATAATAACTAGTGCATCTTTGTGCTTAATTTTGATTGAGGTTGAGCAGAATATTCGTTGTTATTGACTATAGGTGCCTTGCATTGAGTTAAAAACCAACGCGACCCTTTACATTTCAGGGAATATCTCTAAATAAATTGAGTGTAAGAAAACAACCAAAAAAGAAGGCAAAGCAAACACTGGTTTTAAACTTTTAACTGGTGAAAAAAAAAAAGAAAGAAAACTTTAACTGATAAAAATTCTGTACTGAGAAAATACATAATCTTTCTCAATTCGATACTGCGTTATTCTTCGTGGTGTGGACTGCTAATTAAGCTCCCGATTTTTGCTGCTATCGAGTTCAGCTCATAAGGGTGTTATACACACTTAAATCTTACCTTTAACGCAAATGATGTTTCCCTCGGTCGAGTTCTGAGGATTTAACCAAAAAAAGAAAATAATTATTTTACGGGAAGCGTCGAAAGTCTTGTAAGGTTAAAGTTCGTATTTCCCATCACGAAATTAAGGCAATCAAAAACAGGGTTGATGTAAGAAGTTACGGTGCGTTCCGCTTCAAAAATCTGCGCATCACGTTGAGTTCAGTGCAAATATAAAAGTTGGGAGTTCTAGCTATTCGGCGATCGTAAAGCCAACAAACTTAAGGAAAAAGTATTTAAATAATTTATTTCTAGATGAAGAGAAATGAAGTTATTAACTCAGTTCTTAGAACCCTAGCCAAAGGGAACTAAAAGAAAAAAAAATCTGTGTAAGTGTCTCAATTTGATTGGAGGCGACAACGTACTTGTTCCGTTGTAGCTAAAGCAGACTGAGTTCCTTATTTCTGGTTATTGATTAATCACCACTGAGATGAGATGACGTACGCGCAGCGATGTTATTTACTAAAGACGGTTCTTTGAGCTATTGTTTTGTAATACATACTATTCAGTTTAGCGTTACCCAGTAAAGCTAAATCCAAATAATTGATGATTTTGTTGAAACTGTAATGGATACGATGATAAAGAAGGTCAGTCTTAGATAAAAACACATATAAATGTCAGGCCTTCGTTAAAAATATCTCCAAGTTATCTAAATACAAATCCAAATAATAATGATTATTGTGAGGGTCACGATAATCATTATTTAGATTTGTATTGTTATTGTTTATTTGTATGATATTCTGAAACTCTTCAATAGGAATGGGTCACCTTTAGTGTGCAAATATCTCATCGTAATTTGGTTTAACCAATTGCTTCGATAATTCAAATTGGCCGCCTCCGTTAAGAGTTTCTAAAACCGATTTTTTTGAGCGTTAGCCCCGCGTCATTCGCTTTGTCGGATCTAGCATAGATAGAGTAAGCTATTTCCATGCATTTTAAAGAACTCCCAAGGTCAGGAAACATAAATATGAAATTTTACTCCTGCTATAAGTGGTTCTTCGGCAAGATTGGTTTATATAGTTGTATAAAACTGAGAGATAGCACTTACGCTTCGATTTCCATTCGACTTAGCACAGACGTTGCTACATTTGCGGCACAAGGATGATGTATCTGTAGCTCTTCTCACGCGAACAATTTCCTCCATTTGTGCTCCTCTTGGACGAGGATGCGTAATTGTAGGCAGAGAATTTACGCGATTTCCAAGCTCAGACGAAGGATTCGGCATCCGTAAATTTTGTTCAACCGCTATCAAACGCGAATCTAATCGTTGCAGAGAATAACAAGTGAAACCAAGTGAGCCCAGCGTGAGAATTAAGTTGAATGAGAAGCCAAACAGGAAAACATGCGAATTATTATTCGCTTTGGACTCCATCTTTGAGACCATCTCTTTTGAAACGAATGTAAGGATTGAGGGCTGGCGAACAATGGCTTGAAACATAACCGAGGGGTTTTATGTGGGGTTTCAGATAAACAGGATGTTCTAAACTGGACATATTTCAAACAGAGGCCTGACATTGATACGCGTTTCTGTCTAAGACGACCTTCTTTATAATCGTACCTATTACAATTTCAGCAAAATTATCAATTTTCATTTTACAGGTAAACAAGCGAAATTTTAGGATCATGACGCACATTTGAATAACTCTCGCAACATTTAAGTGAATGTTTGATAAAATAGAAAAACTGTAAAAAGGGTCCTTTGTGTCACATATTTTACGAGTTCACAGCGAATCACTTCAACACCGGAGAACACTAAAAAGCATTAAGAGATGTTTTAGGTGCTGTGTCACGCAATATTTCGAGTGTGGTGGCACGATTTAAACCAAAAATATTGTTGTGGATTGAAAGAAATCCTCAAATAACGGATCGCGTGGGAAGATAATGTCCGAAGGAGTTACCTAAACTAAAATGCAAGCATAGAAAATTTAAATATTTCAACGTACACAAGCCCAGATGTAAATCTACAGGAAATAGTATCACAAGATATTCAGGCCAAGAGGGTATTCTTGAGGAATTTTACACTTTTGAATTGGACTCTTGTTAGGAAAATGTCTCAAAGGTTAATCGTTTAGTTTAGTTAAAGGAAACGTGATTTCTTCTGCTTCGCAAGAATCGAGTATCGCTTTTCTGACTGAGGGAAAGCATTTAAAACTTGACTTAAAACAAGGTTTAATACATTTAAAATAGATTGTCCTAATACAAATATTACCCTTTTAGCCTAATTTGGATTTCCATTGTTTACATGCCCGCTATTTCTGTCCCTTTTCCTTTAAGTGCACAATGTAGATACTCTTCGCCTTCTTTAACTGTCGCCTCCAACTGATTAAGTCTCTAAAAGTCACGTTTTGTACCTACTGCATATGGCAACTATATAGCTCAAACGCAAAATCATACGGGAACAGGAGAGAGGCATCACCTTAGAAATATGGAAGGGGGCCTCTACTCCTCTCCTCCTTGTATCAAAATGAAGATGAGAATAACTTGGGCTCCTACTCAGGGTAAATTGAAAGAGATTTAAAAATTATATCTAAGGTGGAATAAGTTGTTTGAGTCGAACAGAGTTAATCCACATAAAAGACCTCCCAGTCAGCAATTTGGAAGTTCTGACTCCCAGCTAAGATATTAGATGGTCTCCAACTACTACCCGGAATGGAAGAGTAGGATCTGGAGTTGTATCGATCAAATTTTGTGTGTGATGGTGTACCGACGTTGGCGTTGTTAGCAATGAAGAGCAGATAGTTGTAGCCAAATGTTGGACCATAGCTGGACTGCTTGTAAATGGCATATTCTGGCTGTTTCACCATGATTTTAAATGGTTGCAGTCCTCTTGTATTGCGGAGGGAAAATATGAAAGCTTTGGAAGTGTAACCATATCCACCGCTAGATTCTGGCGAATAAAATAAATATTTTTTTCCATCAGTCAATTTATCCATGAATATTTCTCTTTTTCTTTGAAGGACTCACTCAGTCACTTTCGCATTGGTTTTCGATCTATCTGCTCCAATCATGCTCTGTAACTATAGCTCATACTCGTCATCAGAAATATTAATGCTCATCAATCACAAGCAAAAGGCAAAAAGAAAACGAAAACGTTCTCGAAATACATCTGAGCGTTTGCGTGCTATTTAGCTGGGCATGATTATTTTTTTTTTAAAGAATAAGAGATAAAATTGGCATAGCAAAAGATACCAATAAATAGGGAACATTTCATTTACCCCAGGGAATGTCCGTGTATCCTCCAAATACGTACTGTCCTACTTTTATGATAGTGACCGTGTTCCGCTTCCCATCACATCTGCTGTGGAAAGTACTGGCCGCCCAGCCGTGAGTACAAGCGCGGAAACACAGCAGCCACTGAGGATGACTTCCGACTGCGGGTGTCAAGAACTGGTGAAGTTGAGTCTGATAAAAGGCGTCCCCCCCTATTATTGCTGAATTCATCCAGGACTCTATAATTGAACAAAAATAAAGCAAGCTGTTATATTTGAATTTTGCAAAAGTACAATGAGCAGCGTGGTGGAAAGTCGAGAGACAGAGACAGAGACAGAGAAGGAAAGAATGAAAAACAATTTTTCTCACATTTATCGACAATTCCCTTTAAGTTGTTATTCTTTCATTTTGTTTTACTGTAGCATAATAACTGATGACCACCGTCATAGCAACAAGCCATCCATGAGTAGTGTGAGGGAGAACACCAGGTTTCTCCCATATAGAGGCAAATGATTCCCACATTCATCAAGCAAGGAAGGAAATTAATTAATCACTGTGACTTTGCAAACTTAAATCTCACAACTCTGCACGCGTTAATGAAATCACAATTAACCCACGTATGAAGAAATCGTTTAATCAGAGAAAGATGACTGACAGCGATGAATAAGTCAATCTAGGTTAAATCTTCGCTTTGTTGAATAAAAAGAAAAAGAAAATAATTCTTGGACATCGCGTTTGTCTGTATGAATAAATAGATGGATTAATGGATGGCTGAAATTAATTATTTGCTCCTGACCTGGTGGGACGTAATTCAAGGTTGTCAACGCACTAATAATGCCAAGTTTGTTGCCGGCTTTGCACTGATAAACACCTGCATCTTCAGGACTGAAGTTGGAGATGGTCAAGTTGTGTTTTGTAACAGAAGTTCGGCCTTTTGGTAAAGATAATAGGCCTCTTGACCAGACAATTGTCGGTGGAGGAAAGCCAAATGCTCGGCAAGGGATTGAGGTGTCCGACTTTCCCATTACTCTTAGAAACCGATCTGGTCTCTTTGTGAACTCCGGAGGCACTAGATTAATGAAAAAGAAGGTATATAAACTTAAGTTCATATCGTCGTAGACAAATGCAAGTCGTAAAACTTTAAAACATTTGACATTTGTGCCAAAGGAAGACTGAAAGGAAGATTTCAGATTATAGGGAACCTGAACGAATATCATTCTTTACTAAATTGAAGGCGAAACTAGCAAAGAAGTAAATTTGAATGACAAAAAAAGAAATCAGTGATAACTGTTTCAAATAACTTCCCGAAGGGTTGAAAAATTGGAAATGCTCGATTCAAAGCTGTGTAAAACTGGAAGTCCCCTAAAGTCTGTTACTTTACATCTGAGGCTTTTAAAATGTATTTGACGTGTCAAAGGTTGTATCTCACCTTCCACAAAAAGCGTTACTTCTTTCTGCACTTTTCCTAATACATTTTCAGCCATGCAAACGTAACTCCCCGAGTCATTATACTCAACATTCCTGATCTGAAGTTCATTGCCGTGGCTGTCCAAATTCTCCATTCCCGTTTTATTAACTTTACTCCAAGTTACTCTGGGTTTTGGATTACCATCAGCTGAGCAGTTAAACGTGGCGGTCTGTTTCTCTGTGACTGTGAGCGACGCGGGAGATACATTTATATCTGGAGCAAAAATAGACTCCCCTGGTTCACCTTTAGGTCCTGGATTTCCAGGATAGCCTGTGTCTCCTTATAAAAAAAAGGAAGTAAAAAAATTTAGGTCGTGAGTTTGATTCTATTTAAGCTTCGACATCAGCGATATGATTCATAAGGGATCGGTGAATTCAGTATTTCCAATATAAGATCTCGCGAGATTCAAGGAGCTGATCATCCAATTCTGATAAAAAAAAAAATTGGCAAATTCTTACACTGCGCGACTCTCTGAGCAGCTTTGTAATAAAAAAAAAAGACAACTGTTTCAAATATATTCTCCTTAAATGCTAATAAATGGTCAGCCACAGGTTTACAGGTGTGGATGAGGATTGTGGAGTGAAATCGGAAAAGTTTGATAAATTTTTGCACTTCACTATAAAATGATAATAAATGTGACCGAATAACCTGCAAACCTTTTTTTATAGCAACAAGCAAAAATACGTCAAATACATTATTTTTATCTTGTTAAAAAAAGAACTCGATCTGATATTTAGGGCACCTTTTTGGCCTTTAATTCCTGGGTTTCCTGCATCTCCCTTTATTCCATCTACCCCAGTGTCTCCTCGCAATCCAGGTTTTCCAGGGAGGCCCTCTGGACCTTCTATACCGTCCTTTCCTGGAATTCCCTCTGGTCCAGGGGGACCTGCCATACACAATTTCTTCGTGGGTTGACAATAAGACTCGATAGATTCAGTGATAAGAGAGGCCATGTACTTTTTTATTGCAGTATCAGCTTCTTCTGAATCGCCAGAAACGTTGCGCTGGGCACTTAAACTTCGGCGGACAATTTTACTGCTGTACTTGATGACTTGAAAAAAAGAAGATATTTCTTGTTAGATTCCGTACGTGGCTACGCCACAATCTATGACGAACTCATTAGAATTATTGCAATATGAATGTTTTTGTGTTTGGGCACATCTAAATCTTAAATAAAGTTCTGGTTAAGCCGAGCGACTGGTTGAGTAGGGCTGACCAAGAAGAGATCAAATAACTATTTTGGAAAAAGAAATAAAGACTTGCAGTTCTTCATCACGACAGATAAATATTTTTAGGTACAAGTGTTTTTATAGAGGTTGCTCTGGCTGTGGCCTTTAGTGACGCGGATTAGCTTTAATTATGTCCTATCGCGTGACCCGAGGCCATCTTTAAAGATGAGCCTTTAAAAGTAAAAGCGAAAAATTCGGTATAACTTCTGTGGTAGTGATTCATTAGGTATAAGAAAGGCCTGCTACCGACCTTTTAATTTATTATCCCGTTCTACGTGTGAAAAACGCACCAAAACATGCCACTAATGTGGTTACTGAGCCATGCAGGATATTTGAATAAGTTGACCTAGATGAGTATTGTGCTGATTAAAGAGGAAAAAAACAAAGAGGAGGATAAGAGACATCAGAGGTATTCACATGGTCCAAGTAAGCTTAATGATGAAAATATCCTTGCCAGAAATCTTCCTTCTGAAATGGAACTAAAGTCGAATCTAGCTGCATGCAGAGGGGACTGGTTGTAATATAAACCGGACCAAACTTTGATCAAGGTCACCAAAGGTCTGTCTGTAAGTCGAATAGTAGCATGAGTGATGACTGTTCTAGATCCGCTCCCGCACTGCCTTATCTCCTAATCCCTCCAGCGCTATTTTGCTGTTTGTTATCTCATAGATTTAGAAGGAATCGCGCGTTTGCATCGCAGATAATTCTATGACTTTCAGGTCACAATTATAACTTGAATCTCTATTAACAAATTCCCTCAAATTGTGCACCATGAAGAGTCAAGATTACATAACATTCTACCAAAAGCAAAAAAAAGGAAAAGAATGTCCTTCAATGCAAATATCTAGCTTTAAGCCCAGAACTATCTCTGGAATTAAGTGAGAGTGGATTTTGAATCATTATATCCATATGCATAAGGTGATACGTTATTGCTAAATCAACACCAACAGCAAAGAAGCCCAGCCTGTGTATCATTTCTGAGATTATTACCAATATTATGACTGATGATACAAACTGCCTTGATAATGGCGTACAGGAATCTTACAGAAGTAAGAGAAAATATATAAAAGTTATACCACCTACCACTTGAAGCATCAAGATGGTCGTTTACACGATTGGGGAAGCGAGCATCTTTTACCGATTTCAGAGTTTCCTTGATCTCTTGGATTTCAAGGGTGACCTTAACTTCCAACATTTGCGTGCTGATCTCCATTCTTAGGAACAGCGCAATTGTTAGGAGAATTG